TGTATTTCTAACTCTTATGTCCTGAAGTGGTATTTAACAAGCTTACCATAAGCATTTGCAATTATCTAATAGCACCTGAAAATTGCTTATTAAATGACAGGAGGAAGTGTCATTTGCATTCCATATCTGATGTTAAATCTGCTAATCCTCCACCGAGTCTGCCAGGAAAAACAATGTAGACAGACTTGAATTTTATTAAAAACAGGAATTGAGCTTCCCACTCTTCTATGGCACACTGCAAGATAAACCTTAAAATCTCCTGGAATATATTAATTATGTCAGCCATTGTATTCCTCATTGTTTTCTTGGAATGTGCTTTAGTTACAGGCTCTTCACAGGCTGTACATTAACAGCCCTTCCCTCTTGCATCTTCTTGCCTCACCCCAGGAAGGCTGTGTCTCCGTGTTTGCTCTTGTTTATACAAGTTAATCTGCTGTATTGTGACAGTTTTTTTCCTTCAATAATGAAAGTTCCTAATTGGGCGTAATGAAATCACGCTACTAGATAGTATTATATGAAAGCACAACGGAGATAAGAGACTGTGAAGAAAATAAGCATTTTAAAGATTTTTGGATAAGATATGAAAGCCATTTTTCTGCCCGTATTTTCCTATTTTCTTTGAGAATGACTGCTGGTGCAGCTGTGTAACTAAGACTATGTCAAACGACATCCATTATTTATTGGCCTGGTTAGCAAACAACGACACCTTTGACTACAGCAGGTTGTGAGGTCAGTTTACCGTGCCTTAACGCCGACTGAAGACTAGCTTTTTTGTATATATATTCTCTAAATTTTTCCATTTGGCACGAACTTCTCTGAGGAAAGCAATAGGAACTACTTGGGGGAGGGGAGCAGGAGAGGGCTTGGACTTGCAGAAAGTTGGCACAAGTGTAATTGTGCCTTTTATTTGCTATCCAGGTGCATCAGATCCGGTTACAGACCAGTCTCCCCATAAAGGCAAACTTTCCTCCACCGAGTAGAAACTGCAGAAAATACACGTTACATTTTGCAGCTGTTACGCCCTGAAATGAGTCAGTCCCCTGCCTTCCTACAGAGTGGGTTTGAAAGCGTTAAATGCTGTTGAGCTGCCCAAAATACACTGAAATTTGCCAGTTGATTAAAACTGGCCTGCCAATTTAAAAATAACTTGCTGGTGATATTCAAAGGGCCTAAACAGAGCTATTCTGCAAGGGAACCCTGGAGAAGGATGTTGGCACTACAGGCACACAAGGGATTCTTCTCATACTCTTCCCAGCAGCGCTCAAGCAGCCTGTGGGCATTAAGGGCCCGATACTGCCCGGCTAGAGTCGGTGAAAACTGGATCCCTGGCTGTCCAGGGACACCGGAGCGAGGCAATTAGGATCAGGAATGTGTGGCTCTGAAAATTTGTACCTATGTACTGGAGTTGCCATGCTTTTAACTCCCCATGCTGGCCTCAGTTTCCGTACTTTTTTATTATTATTATTTTAATAAATAAAATATGTAGCAGTTCTGCTTTTGAGCTAGTACGTGTTCTGCGTGGAAGGACGCTTTACGGTGTCCTAGCAAAGGAAACAGAGATTGAGATGGTACCAAGTGTGTCGCCCCCTCCCAGGGCTTGGGGACCAGCTTACTCTGGCACAGGTAGCGGCACCTCCCGACCAGGTTTGGTTTGGCGCAGCGTTACTGGCCGTAACCATGGCCGTGCCATCCCCTTGCCTCTGTCTTCCTCCGAGAGGCAAGGCTGAGCAGGGGGAGGTAGGGAAACGTGGCTCAACGCGGTGAAATTCCTCCTCGCTATTAACAGTAGCTTTAATCTCTTTCTGCAGACTGTGATGGATGACGGGAGATACCTATGGGAAAGCGTAGGAAAGGACAACCTGCAAGCAGAGTGACAGGAGGGATGTGTCTTCTACACCAGCAGAAGGGGACGTGACCGAAGAGCTGGCTAATTCGGTTGTGCGTGATTGCTACTCATACTCTGTGCTTTGGGGGTACTTTTTGGGTTTTTTTTTGAATCACCATGTAAGAATTCTCCTCTGTGTGGGAAATTAAGATTTCTTAAGTTGGCCTTTGTGCATCTTTAGCTGTTAATTTTTTCCCAGATTGACTATTTTCATGGAAAGTATAATTGTATTGAAATTACGCTAATGTGATTTGCTTCCTGTGGCATTTTCTATTACATTGGCTTTAAGTCTTCAACTCATTCAGAATAATGGTTGTGGTATTAATAAAGGGGTTTGGTGCACTACGGTGCTTCCTTCTCTTGGTTAGATCATGGAAACCTGATCCAAAGAACCTTAAAGCAGAAGAGTGGGATGGGATAATACAGGGAATTGTTGTCTATGAAGAAAAGAAGAAATTTGTCAGCTGGAATAGAAATTCTGTCGCCTCTTGACACTGGGATAAAAGGTTATTTTGTGAGCAAAACTTGACTTGAAGAATCTTAGGTACAGGTAGCAAAGGACAGCGTTTTTAAAACACTAACTTGAAATGAACTGTGTAAAACAAAAGGAACTTGAGGGAGAGATGTTGTCTCCAACATAAAGTGGTAGAGCTAAGAATGCTAGAGGAAGGAGAAATTAAGTTGGATAGGGTGTTGGGTCATTTGTGAATTATAGTAGCAGCCCTGCCTCCTCTTTTCCCTTCCTCCTGTCCTGGAGAATGCCACATTCTGCTGATCTGGCTTGGAAAATATTGAAGGGTCATGGGATAGGCTTTGGAGGCAACAGCTCAGGGCCAGAACACGATGTGGGTTGACTTGTCAGCAGAAAGGCATCCAGTCATGATGGAAAAATTGGAAAAACTCACTAAAACTAAGTGTACATTTGAAATGGGCACCACGAGTACGTGTTGGTGAGACAAGCCAAGTGGGTTATAAACAGCCCGTCTTTAATGCTGCAGAATGTCACTGTGCAAATATCATGTGCTTAATCGGAGAGAACTCTGGTTTGGTTTTATTTTGCATTCTGCAGTGGTGTTAGGGATTTGGCCAACGTTTTTGTGTTCCTGTTTCAGTAAGGAATGAACCGGGAGGGGGACCTGTTTGCTAATAACCTCTACTCTGGAGGCGGATGGTTGCTTTGCTCTCTTAGGTTACCTTGCTGCTGATTAGTGCTTCTATTTTGGTCATAGTATGTGTTGAAAGTTTGGGCATCTCTAGAGCGTGAAAAGTATATTCATCTGGTATTATCTGTCCCACCCAGGTCGTTCCCTGAATAATGGTTTTCCCTTGCAAGAGAAGTAAACTCATCCTCGTGGAAGGACTTTAAGGTCCCTTCCAACCCAAACTAATCTGTGGTTCTATGATTGAGTAGTCTCCTTGCTTCACTTTTTGTCTTTCATTTGTCTTTTATGACGTTGGGGCATCACAGGGAAGAGGGAATCTGTATTTCTGCAATAGGATAGCACTCAATAAGGCAGAGCCATACTGTGTAGTTCAGGTGCTTCTTTGGATATTTTGTGATAAAAACTACCACACTTCCAGGTTTCTATCTTAATTTTCAATATAAATAAGGACATACAGTGTTTCAGCTAATTAGTTCCTTCAGGACAGGCTTACGATGATCGGTTGCTGTTTGTTTTCACAGATGATTCTTCTTAATCCTTTAGATCCTGGGCTACAGTCAGAAGAAATCTGGACCATCCACAGCAAATAGTCTTGGAGGTGCACTGGAAGTAGAGGTACGCTGTGGCTTTCTCGGGGTCTACTGAAATATATTCATAGAGCCATGATTTAAACAACAACTCTTAAGTAGGATGGCTGAACTGCCGACGCATAAAGCTGGACTTTGTCGATTGGTTTGTTGGCAAAACCATCTTTCAGATAATTCCTGTCAACTGGAGAAAAAACCCAACAAAAGCAGGAAAAAGGAGGTCCTTTGACTTCTCTGCCATGGTCTCGAATACCATTTCCAGGGCAGCGCGGGGATTCACTCAGAGCTTTCCTGTGCAGGCGTGGTGCGCCTCGACGCAGGCCTGTGCCGGGGCGTGCAGAGAGATTCCTGAAGGACTGCGCTTGGCAGCTCAAAGCGACGCCTCTGGTTTGGCGGGAGCCTCCACTCGAGCTTGTTTCTCCTGCTGGGAATTTGCATGGGCGGATGGGCGGAGGGCCATCGCCGCTGATTCTGCTTTTCAGTATCTGAACTAGGTCTCCAGCATCTCTGCAGTTTCACGGCGTCGCTGTGTGTCAATCTGCCGTACGTACCTGCCTGTATCTAAATACCAGACTGACCCAAACGTTCATTGCTTAGTTGTTTTTCCCTATAAAGGCCTACCAAAGTACCTGGGGAGCCCCAGATGAAAGTGCAAAGCACGCCCAAAATGTGCATCTCACCTCTCTGAACGTTCTCCTGTGTGGTTCTCCGAGGTGTGTGTGCCATCACGAGGTATCCTCCTTAGCATTTCTTTGGTATGCACTTTAAAAAGAAAAAAAAAATCTAATCTACACCTGTGATCTTGAATGCTGTGCCATGGGAAGTGCACTTAGAATTCAGGTGATGTAGCTTATCTGAAGGCAATGGGCATACATTGGTCTCTATCAGGGAAGGAATCGCTCGTGGGTTCTAGGCTGTTGGTGTTTAAAATGTCGCTTTTCTGCATTTTGCTTGCTTTGATGGCATTGTCAGCCTGTCCGTTGCAAGTAGGATATCAAAGAGCTCCGTTTTGGTGTTGATTTTTAGGAGTGCTTACAAGGAATCTGTGAGATTGACATTGCTTGGAAGGACAGGTTAAAGAAATAATGCTAACTTTTGTTAAGTTTGTGGAAGTTTAAGTACTCTGTACAGGCTCCTGGCCAGCAGAAGGCAGTAACTGCTCAGCTTTGTTCGGCGCTGCGTGCTTGCTTGCCTGAGCCATCTTCACAGTAGAGATCTACGGACTGAATTTTCAAGGTTTCAGGAGTAGTTCATAGGAAATTTATTGTTCTACGTGCTTAGTTCTTTATGATTGCCCCTAAATAATGTGTTCTCTTTCTGTCCTAGATCTAAGAGTTTTGCTTTTCATGTACAGTAATACTCAGCATGTTGTTACTCTGTCACATGCTGGCCGGAGCCTTGCTTCCGTTCTTCATCCTTTCAGGAAATTTGGTTTCAGCTGAGAACATCAACTTTTACAACGTGAGACCTCCACTAGACCGTAAGTAGGCAGTGCTGCTTTTTTTTTGTGGCTGCAATTGTAGCTTTTTTTCAGTCCTTTGGTTTTTAAGTGTTTTGTCTTCTCCAAACACGAAGGATAAAAAGTTTAAAATAAAACTTCTGCTTTTCAACCCACAGCAGTTTGCTTTATTTCTAAGATTTTGTAAGCTGGCTGAATGGCAACAAACAATTGTGTGCATTGCTAAGTTAAAGACTGCATGAGGGCTTTCACATTTTAAGTGCTTTTATTATATTTTTTTTTGTCTCTGAAATGTCTTCCTACAGAGCAAATGACGCAGTGGATTTCTCATAAATAATACAGAACAGATGATTTTGTCTTTTATCTTGTTGGGGGTTTTACAAGGGAAAGAATAGGTGTGCTGTATGCAATTAATTCAAACTGAAGGTAATTAAAAACCTTGTGAGACCTGTGAAGCCAGTTGTCACTAATAGCATCCTTTTTTTGCCTCTTATCTAGCGTCAGAAGCGTTCTATCCCTTCATTTACGGGGAGAAGCTTTTTGTTACAGTGTCGTTAAAGCAGTCAGGACAGCCAGATATGATAGGTACCTGTGTGCAGCCAGGGGACTGTGCATCTGAAAATCATTTCTGTGCTTGTATAATGTAGGATTTTAGAGTCATCCTCTTGAGCCCTTTGACAAAGGGATCCGGCTTCTTCAGAGCTGGAGATCAAGATCTGAAACTGGTTTTGAAGGTGTCGTTTTTTCATCAAGGGCATCAAAAACCATTTGAATGTCGATTGTGTTCTGTAGCCGTACGAACACACATGCGGATGCAGCGTCGTGGGCATGTTTATATGATGTGCTCTCTTCCCTCTTTTTTCCCACCACTGCTTAAACGGTGTTTGGCACTGGGAGAGGACGAAAACAGGAGGGGGTGTTTTAGAGTTCAGGCGTAGCAAAACCAGTTACAAACGTTAAAGCTTTCTACAAAACTTGTTGCGTGGGTTTTATTTGTCTGGCAGTGATGAGGTATCATGGAAAATATGTGAATGTGTGTAATGTGTTTTTGCCAGTTATGTGTGTACAAGCGCTTACAGTATTACTTTGAATATTTTATTTTTTTTCTTAATTCTTGCAAACTTACTGTGTTTTAATACTTTTAAAGCCACTCCATTTCCAAACAGTTTTAAGTGCTTTACTTGTGATAATGCAGTGGACAATTACAACTGTAACAGATGGGCTGAAGATAGATGGTGTCCTGAAAGTAAGTGCATCTGTACTAAGGGGATTCTTTATCATAGTTATGTTTGCTTTTCCCTGACTCAGCCGTCTTGTAGCAGCCTAACTGGGTGGGATTAACATGCCAACTCAGGGGTGCCCTCAGTTATCTTATTAGTGATACTGACTCATGTGATTTCTGCTGGGGTGAATATTCTGACCACTTTAGAGTGCAAAGAACAGTGAAAAAATTTTTTTTAATATATATATATATGTATAAAAGATTTGATTATAATGTATAACAGTACATTACTACTATAGTAATTAATGTATTATTAATATATCAGAAATATATTGATTAAGTGTGTGTGTGTATATATATATGTGTGTGTGTGTATATATATATGTGTGTGTGTGTTGTGTATGTGTGTGTGTGTGTATATATGTGTGTGTGTGTGTATATGTATGTGTGTGTATATATATATATCTAGCTATGTGCTTCCTAGGGATTAATTTTAAAGATGCTATTTAAAAAGGATACCCTTTGTGGCCTTATCCCCTTCCTTTTGGATGTGATCCCAAGATGTAATGGTCTCTCTAGGCTATAAGCTTGCTTGTGAGCAGCGAGACCTGACTGGCTAGGGATCATACCTGTATGAGAGAATGGTAGATACCTAGGAAAGAAGAGAAATGTTTCCTCATTTTATTTCGCAGTGATGTTCACAGTAACAGTGGGAAAGGGGAAGAAATGGGCTAGAGGAATGAGGAAACATGTCCAAAACAAAACCAGCAAGAATGTGCTGCAAAAAAGAGTAGGGGATGGATGGTAATTGTGTAGATTATAGCGCTAATAAGTAGTTTAAATGATAGAAGCCTTTCCGGAGGTTTGAAGGGTCAGTTAAGCTTAAGATTTCATCACTAATTAATTTCTTGATAAATGATATTTTGATCAAGTTGAAAAATGGCTTTATACAACCAAACTTAAGTTATTTTTATGGGAATATTTTGCACTTTATGCAAATAAACATTTTAAATTTTATTTTGTAGGTACGCAGTACTGTTTGACAGTTCATCTCTTCACAGACCATGGGAAGAGTACATCGGTCACCAAAAAATGTGCCACTGGAGAAGAATGCCACTTTGTGGGCTGCCACCGTCACCGAGCGAGTGGCCACACAGTAAGCACCCCACTTGGCCCGAGAGCAGCACACTGCTTTTGAGGTTTGCATCTTTTTTTCTGAGCTGAAGAGGATGTGCCAAGATATGCTCTCCAGTATTTAACAATAGAAATCAAATTTCTGCCACAGACGCATGACTACCCCTGCTTTCCTGTTTGGGCTGCTGTGGAGCAACCTCTAAAGAAACACCTGAGCTTTCTGGGGCGTTGCTTGTGTGTGTCTGAATCGACTGCCCTTGATTTCAGCAGGTTTTGCTGGGCTGAGGGCACGAAATGACTATGCAGCCTGCCTTCTGCTGCATTTTGTCTTGGGAGAGTTCTTGTGCCTTTGGGTTAGATAAAAATAGGCGTTCCCTTGGCTTTTCCAGCAAGGACTGTCAAGTAAGGAAAATGATTTTCAGATTCCCCCCTGAAAACCGGCTGTGTCAGCGGTTCTGTGGCACTAGAAAACTGACCAACAGAAAGTCCGAAGCTCAGCATGCAAAGCTACACTGAATGCAAAGGCTTGAGGGGAAAAAAGAAAGGAAACGGAGTTTTTACAGTCAGGGGTTTTTTAGCTTAAAAAGTTGAAACTTGAAACATTCAAGTGCATGTTTTTAGCTCATGTGTTGGAAGGGGAAGCGGGGGAAGCTTTAAGCTTTCCCTGTGAACTCGTCGGCACAGCCACCATGGCTGTACGGCGTGACGTCACCGTGCCGAAGCCCGGTGACGGCACCAGGGGATGAGCTGCTTTAGGAGGGCCGTGGTGCCCGGTTTGGGAGAGAAGCGGTGGCCCATGTGCTCCACCTTGGCTCAGGCTGCCAGGTGGAAGCGATGCCTCGGTTCAGCTGTAACCTTGGCAGCCCCTTGAAGGAACGTGTGTCTCCCAGAGCCGCCGCTGAACCACCCCGTGTCCAGTGACCTCCTTTTTCCCCGCAGGAGTGTGTTTCTTGCTGTGAAGGCATGATCTGCAACGTCGAGATACCAACCAACCACACCAACGCCGTCTTGGCTGTATTGCACGCCCGGAGAACGTCGGGTGGCAGCAGGCGGACAGTCAACGTTGCAGTGCTGGTGTCGGCCGTGATGGTGGCCTTGTCGTGACGCAGCACCCTCCCGTCACCTCTGCCCGAGAGGGCCCCCCTTTCTGCGGGCCGTAAGGGGATTGTTTCAGTCTGGGCAAGGGGAAATCGCTGACACTTCTTAATTACAGAAAGTGTAAGGGGACGGTGGAGAGACAAGTGTACATCCTGAAGTCCTTGGATGTCCTAGTGAGGATACTTCATATGGCCTGCAGTATTTTAAAAAAAAAAAAAACAACCCCCCAACAACCCCCATGTTGACTAGGCAGTGGGGTGAACTCCAGATATCGTGATTCACTATTTCATGGTGAAAATGCACATATGCTTGGCACGTTTTCTAAACAAAGTGGCTGTAGACAATCACTTTCCCAGGTGGGATAAAACCGAACTTTCAATGGACCATGTGCCGACAGATATCTCATTGGAAGCTGGTTTGAAGCTGTTTTTCGTTGTGCATAAATAACACAGTTTCTTGTCTTGATCAACAGGTGTATTTAAGCTTATCTTTAGCTGTGGTTTTCATAGAGAACATGTATGGTTTTCATAGAGAACATATATAAGAGATTTTTTTTTCCTGTTTTGATCAGAGCTCTCATTTCTGCTGGAAATGATACAAAAAAAATACTCCATATCTGTCTTTTCTGTAAAATGGTATCTCACACTCTGATTTTAAAATGGTGTGACATTATGTAGAATTTCTGTCTAAAAATGATGAGCTGTTTGAGCACCTAAATCAGAATTCCTTCCCCCAAAGGGAGTCTTTTCTTGCAATAGAGTCTCACCTCAGCTGAATCTTTGTCTTTTGGATATTGTTCAAAGTGGTGATACTGCCGTGGCTTTGACATTGCAGCTGCGGTGAAGCAGCTACGTTATCAGAAAAATTGTAAGTGGGCACTTGGTTTTTGCAGAAGTTCCTCCCAGGAAAGTTACTGCCCTTGATGGATCTTCAACTTGTAAGTCAGCACTGTTGGATATCCCAGACCTCTGGATTGTTACGTAGCTTTGCCACCCCCGTTTGAAAGTTTGGGCCGAGATGCTATTTTTGGTCACAGTACCGGGGGGTTTAACGTGGTTTATTTGCGTCGTTTGACTCCGTATCTCTTAGGTGCCTGCTCGTCGGTTAGATGAACAGCTGCAAATGTGACAAATAGAAGTTGAGATTACAGTTAGATGTGCCAAAACCTTCGCTGTTCTCCTTTGTGAACCTTGTGATGCAGCGTAAATAAGCTGCTTGGGCGAACTTCTGGCGCAGAACAGCGCTTGGTAGGTCGAGCTGTCCTAGGCTGGCCTAAACGCAGTCTTTAATAGGTCGGGCTTACAGTGTCTGCGTTGGGGACTTCATTATCATCCACGTTCTTTGCCCTGCCAGCGCCCTGGTGGCGGAGACCAGCAGGTGCTGATGTTACGTGACTTCTCAGTGTGGTTTTGTGTGATTTGAAATCCCAGCAAATCTCGGCTGCTCCCGTTTGCCCCACTGAGTTTCTTCCAACTCCCCACTGTTTTCATAAACTTTCTCTGACAGCCTGAAATATCGCAGCACAGCTAAGGATTTGACCTAGCAAGGCTGAAAAACTGCATTTCACTTTTTTGTTTCCCTGAGCTATTTTATTCGTTTGTGAATATATTAATTTGATTGCAAATAAGATAGATTGTGCTGAGCTTTTTCAAGAGGATTTTTGCATCTTAAATGAGACGGTTAAAATTATGATTAATTGTTGAAATATTTTTCAGGATGGGTCATTAAAACTTTTAAAGAGAGATTCAAAACTGTTCTCTGAAAATTCAAGTAATTATACATTGGGAATTTTTTACATAAATCTTGGCTTAATTATTTGCTGCTTTAGGTCACTAAGTGTATTTAGACTAGCAGCTGAAAAACAGATTTTGAAATGTTTTTGCTTTTGTCACCGTTCTAAAATTGCCTACACAGTGTTTTTAGAATATATAAACATGTCCCAAAGTCAGTCTGTGAGTTGTTGACGTGTAGTTACAGAAGTTGGGTGGAAACGCTTTTGCCTTGCCGATGCAAAATTGGGTTCTTGCTCTCCGAGTCGGCTTTTCCAGGCGCTGCGTTCTGATGACCGTTGCTCTGCCGCCCAACAGGCCAAGATGCTGAGGGTGTTTTGAGGAAATTTTTGCTCTGTTCAGTGCTCCTCCCTCGGTGACACACATGTCTACAGTGTTAATCTTGGTGTCAGACACCGTAACAAGCATGTGCAAGGTTCTTCATCATTAAACATCATCTTTTTTTGCTACACGACCTACAGGGTACTGGAACTTTTTTTCTGGTGGGAAAATCATTCCAGGTTTGCTCTCTGCTCAACGGGGAATTCCTTAGAGAAGCGAAAGCAACTGGTCTTCCATGTTTTGGGTCATGGTATTTTTCCTGGGTTTTGCCTCTAAGCACTAGGTGCTCCCATAGTTCAGTTTCTGGGAATAATTATTGCAGTCTTAACGAGGCCTTAAAGTGCCCTATAGTTTTCCGTGAGTTTACTGCAAATAATTCACAATAATCTAAGTGCTGACATTTGTTTACAGTGCAGATGCCATCCCAGAGCGTTTGGGAGTGCCAGGGAGACCCTGACGAGCTGCCCCGGGGGAGGGCTCAGGGCCAGAGGAGGTGGGCTGCAGGTTCTCTGCGATGGCCGTGAGACCTTGTGGGAGGGGAGGGCTCTGTGTGTGTGTGGGGGAGGTTTCTTGGTTGAATCAAATGTATTTTTTTCCCATTTGCCACATGGAAAAGTTAAGAAATCTGCTCATAATTTAAATACTTAAATGCATTTGGTCAACAATTGTTTGGAATAAAAAAAAAAAAAAATTAAGAATTCCATTGAAGTGCGAGAATAGTATGTTTGATTTGAATTGTAATCTCTTTCAAATTAACAATAAAGACAGAAACTTGGCTATATGAAAGGATTTGGTGTTGCCAAAGGCTTATTTTTTAGCGCAGTAGAATTCCAACAATGGAGGATATTAAGGATGAGTTCTAGTCATCTGGATACATCTTTACCTTTGTTATTGCAAAGTTTAGGGCTGTTGTTTCTAGAAAAAATGAATGTGCAAAAGCCGTTAGTGCAATGTTAGTGCTGCACACTTAGGCAGCTGGCTGAAGAAATACAGGGTTTAAGAGTAAATACCAGTTTTACCCTTTATCGCTTTTTACGTATGTAAAAACCTGTAGGCTTCTGCTTACATCTTATTTTAGGCCAATGTTAAATGCTGACTTTGTAGGAAAAGCAGTACATGCTGATTATTAGAGAAAATAGTGCTAAAATTCACCAGAGTGCCTATTTTTGGCATGACTAATGATTGCCTGCATAGGTGATCTTCATGTGAATTCACGGTGGAATGTTTATATTGTATTAAACAGATTCAAGTCTCGGCTGTATTTTCTCTTCAGACATCTGTCTGAGGAACTTCCAAGAGCATTATTTGATCTGAGAAAAATGATTTTCGGCTGCTCCCCTAACGTGTGTGTTTCCTGCATCTCCACTTCGATTCACCGATGTTGCAACGTGCGACGCGTTAACGCCCCGAGTGCCCACGTGGCGTTGGCAGTGACGTTTGTGTGAAGGCACAGCCGCCACGGCGTGCAGGATGTGTGTGCTGGCGCTTCCCTGTGCATCCAGCCTCCGCCAAGAACGTGTTAAATACCGTGTGCTCCCTTGGGAAGGGGGCGGGTGTGTGTCCACAGAGATGGGGTGAAATCGGTGGGCGCTGACCTTGTGTGCATCCGTTGGCAGAACGGTCCCCATGAACCCGAAAAGAATTCGTCAGGAATGGCAGGTAAATCAATTTGTGCAGCTGGGGAAAGATAAGTGTCGTTTTATGGTATCTGTGTGGAACGATGGTATTTTTTACGCTGCACTGGACAGTCTGTGGAAGATTTGTTGTTAAAAGCTCAAATACAGGCAGACTTCTTCGCTGTTCAGTGTTGCTTTGTATGATGCTTTCCTACTGCTGTGCTACTCTTTTCATTCTTCTCCAGAAAGGACACTTTGAATTAAAAATATTAAAATATTTGCCGGTGGAAAATGTTTGTGGTGGGGGGGAAAAAAAAAAAAATCCTTTTGCTGCTTAAGACAAGACGACCAGTTGTTGGTGCTGGGGAACTTGTTGAGCTGAAATTGCACCGAGGGCAGATTCTGTGGCTCTTTCTCTTCTGATAACGTGCTGGACATTCCCGGAGGGGCGGGCTGGGAGGTATCCCGAGTGCAGCAAGGTCGGGGGGATGTGCAGCGACCGAAGACACGGGGGTCAGCAAGCCAGGGCAGGAGAGCACCTGAGCCTCAGGGTGGGCCCGGGGGAACGGGTGGTTATTTTGACTTTGCCCCTGGATGTACTTGTTTGCCCCTTGATGTACTTGTTTCCAGGGCCATCCAGTTTTTCGTGGGGTGGAGATTCCCTTTTCCCCAGGCAGCGTAACTCAGAACCCTTTTAATGGTGTGAAAATGCTCAGAAAACGGCAATAGTGAGAAACTGTCTCTGCTCGAGCCAGCTGGGAGAGTTGCCCCTTCGCATCGGTGTCTCATCCACGTGCTGGACTGACCAAGGGTGCTGCAAATGGGCAGTTGTGGAACTGGATGGTCTTTAAGGTCCCTTCCAGCCCAAACTGTTCTGTGTTTCTATGATTGATTCATAATTCATTATTTTAGATTGTTTAAATTTCATGGTGATTTGGTAAAGTCATTTTTAACATCGTTGTCAGTCCTGTGTTAAGAAGCTGCTGTTAGAGAAGGTAAAACTGTAGGTGCTTGATGTTTGAATGGATTTGTGCCAGAAGAAAGGTAACATGGTTATACAGGGGTTTAAAGGTCGCTTTGCACAGTTCGTTTGTGTTAATTTGTCCCAGTCTTAACATTGTTTGTTGGGGGTTTTTTAATCTCTGCCCCTTGCCACTGTAACCAGGGTGACATGGTGCTGCTCGGGAATGGGAATGCTGTGGCAAAATGGACTGTATTAAGTGGAAAACACGTATGTGAGTGGAGGTGGGATAAAGAGGATATTGAATAACGTGAATAA